GCTGCCGCCGGGATTGTCTCCTTGCACCTCATCCAGAAACTACTCTTCCCCTACTTCTGGGCTGACCTGAGATACCTGCTGAAAGTATTGGTGTATGGGCTGAGAGTAGAGATGTACCGGCTGCAAGGGAGGATTGTCACAGTCCTGGACAAGTTTGTGAAGCTGGCTGAGAAGCAGCCCCACAAGCCGTTCCTCATCTACGAAGGGAAGGTGCACACCTACTGGGATGTGGACAGGAGGAGTAACAGGGTAGCACAGGTCTTCCTACACCATGGGGCTCTGAAGAAGGGCGACACGGTGGCCTTGCTGATGGGCAACGAGCCAGACTTCATCCACGTGTGGTTCGGACTGGCCAAGCTCGGCTGCGTGGTGGCTTTCCTCAATTTCAATGTCCGCTCCAGGTCTCTCCTGCACTGTGTCAGTAGCTGTGAGCCCAAGATACTCGTTGTGGGAGCAGGTAGAGTATGCACCTGATTCGTACATCCAAAGCTTTTAATGTCACATCTCCCCGGTGTATGTCTCTCCAGCTCCTTTATTGAAAACCTGATTTTCAGATGTTCACAGAATGAAAGAAACCTAGGGCTAGAAAGGGCTTCAAGAGATCACAAAGTTTAAGCATCTCAGGCAGAATCAAGTATATCCATGCTTTGGGGGTATCCATTTAACCCTTTCTTAAAAAATGTGCATTGCAGGAAAGTTTGCAACATCTAAGTACAGCTTGTTCCAAGCGTTCAATTGCTTCAGTAGTTGCTTAATGTGTTTCAGAAAAGATTACAATTAGTAAGAATAATTTCCCATTCCTTTTTAAATAGTCAATTTTAATCTTAAGTCATGTACTTTCTTCTCCGGTACTATCTCCCCATCTTTCTAGTGATCAAAACCACTGCAAACTAGAAGGTCTAAGCTCAGACTGTACAACCGCTGCTGTACAGCTGTTTGTGGAGGTATGATAGTCTTCCAGGGACTAAAATTGAGAGGGACGGGTTTTTTTACAGGTGTAGCACGTAGGAGGTTGATTTATAATAGCCAACTTACTGTTGGCGTTGGATTGTAGAAGAAATTGCTCTGTTTGAATAGGAGATAATTGTGTTGTGTAAGTTTCCAAAGTATTACGTTTTTAGTAAGTGCTTCAAAAGAATTTAAAATCTTGATGTAGGCATGCTGTGCATTGTATATTCGAATTGGGCTTCAATTATAGAGATGTATAAACTGAAGACAGTTCCAAAACCTAAACTTGCCTCAGCATTTATGATCAAGTGCAAGTGAACCTGCAATGCTAAAAAATTACACAGAACCTTGACATTTGGTTGGAGGAGGGTCTTTCAAAATACTAAATATTAATGTTGTCCTGCCTCTCTAAAATTATTATTTCAAGTCTACTCTGCCTTATTTCTATTTCACAACTTCATGCCTTATTCCTATTACACAGATTGTGGGGTTTTGCATCCATGACACCTAAATGGTGGAATTTCCTTCCATCTATTCTCTGCTGCTGCAAATCTGTGCTTTCAAAAATGTATTTAAGATTTTTTCCTTGCATAGTTTTAAATTATAAATTTTCTCATTCTGATTGTATATGGTATGCTGGTTTAAGAATGCTTGGTAATTAAAACAAGCTAAGGAAACAAAAGCAAATTTAAATATAGTCCCAAAACACATGATAACAATGTTTCTGAACTGACAGGTTTTCATTTTGCCTTCTTACTTACTTAAAAAAAAAATCTCATTTAACACCCTCTCATGAATATCTGCTTTTGAGTGTATGGATTGAGGAATGGAATTAATGTTCAGGAAATTCTTGCTCATTGACTGTGGTGAAGGAGAACTTTGGATCAAAACTTGTACCTAAGAGTAGTCTTTATTAAAATGACAGGTTAACTAATGAATGGAAAAAAGCATTTGCAAAGTGGGAACAGCGTCCGTGTTTCTCCACTCTTAATTTACCAGCAGCTGATAGTAAGAGCTACTTACACTGAACTAACTTGTTCTAGGAGTCTGCCTCTGCTCACGAAAGAAAAGCTATGTGCAGACAGATAATACAAAAAAGATATCAATAAATTAGTCTGTGAGCTGGTCTTTCATGTGTCGGTCTTCTTACTTTATTCATGGGTTTTAGTCTCTTCATTAAGGTTGTCAGTCCCTTGAGCCTGCAAGGCTTCACAGTATTCTTCCTCGGGACTTAGAAGCTCTTTTTTATCTTTATCCGTGAAAAAAGTTGTGTGGGCTAATTCATACCACTCTTGAAGCAAAAACTTATTATACATAATTATTGTACATAATAATTTCCCCCTAATGTTTATAAAAATCACAGGGCAGTGTTTAACACTGAGGTTAAACAGTCAGTTAGATAATTCTCAAAGGTCTGTTAAACATCTTTTCGGCCAGTGTTATTGTGTGTTTCAAGGGATTCTTCCTTATCACTAGGCATGACTTGAACTTTCTTGTGTGTTTTGCTCCTGTGGCACGATTTTCCACAGGATTTTGCATAGCTTGAACATAGTTTTTTTTTTTTTGCAAAATATTTACACTAAAACCAATCAACCTGTGGTCCAATATCTATCATTGTCATAGTCAGGCATAATGTTTGGCAAGTAAGATTGTTTTTTTAATCAGAGATTAGTATGTAATGGTATTATTTCTGGACAGTGGAAATTCTAATTTTCAAAAATACGTAGGTTTTTCACTTTCTACAAACAAATATACGCTTGACTTAATAATTCCATTTCTTGTAACAGTTACAAAACTATCTTTTCAATAGTTGGATGACTTTCAATCTTGTTCATATACTGCAGCACAGCAGACATCATCCCCTTAGCAATTTGACCATTAACTGTCTGTGCTCAGCAAGACCAATTTTACTGTTGAAATTCTTGTCTGTAATGGCACATTAAATCAGGAACCTGTATTCAAATCCATTTAATATTAAGGTTTCATTTGTGCTGAAGGGAACCTTTCACCTTCTGCTGGTATCTGGAACGGTTCCCACAGATAATTTTTTATTGCTAAATCTTCCCTGCTGAGAATGGTGTGTAGCCTTCCTCTGTGTGAGATGATTGCATCTTGCAGCTTCCTTTGGTACATCTTGTAATTTTTCCAAAATGCTTTTATTTTTTACAAATGTGATACCTCTGCCCAAATAGGCTGGCTACTATTTATGGTTGCATTTTCTTCCACGCCTTGTTCAGTCCTTCATGCTGCCTCTTGCAAGATCACTCTCATTTGTGGAATTTGTACTCTTCAGTTTTGTTTTGTGCCTGCATATTTTTCAGAGGTTGTGGTTTGGTAACCCAGTCCAATTAGTATAATCTTGTCTTTCCTTCACCACTTGCAGTCATACTTTCTTCTGGTCTGACAATTCCCCGATATTTTGATTGCTTTTTCTAACTTTAGATGGGAGTCTTCCATTAGTACTTAAGTTTTGGGGGGGTTGGTTTTGACTTATGTATTCTACGAACTCTCTGTAATTGAATGTTTTATTCTTAAGCCTCAGATATGTTATAAAAACTTCAAAACTTCTCCCTCTTGTTGGTTTCTTATATGAAATGCTTATGTCTAAAAGGTTGAGTTTTTTCTATGACAGCAATGTTCTTTTAATTCATTTAGTACAGTCTAGTAACTTGGTTTTTTCCTTCTCATCCAACCACAGGCTGTAAGGCAAATATAGATCCTCTGATTTGCCAATATTTAGACTTTGTGTTCCTTTCCAGTATTTCCACTTGCCTTTGTGGCAGAGAGAGTTTTTGCTTTAGCTGCTTTCATTTGTCTGCTGTCTTCCCAGAGCATTTAGCTCTTGCTTTAATTTTTTATGTAACACTCACAACTTCCATTCCCAGAAACACTGTCTACCACCACTCCCTTTCTAGGGAATGTTTGTTGAAAGAGATTCAAAAGTTGGAGTTTAAAACTGCATTTTTAATAAAACAGCAGCTAACTAACATGTAAGTAAACAAGGAACTTGTAAAGGAGAAAAAAAGAAGCTGTATGCCCTTCTATCAGACTGCCAGCATTAGCTTACTGTGACAGCAATCTGACCTGTAGTGTGTTGCAGTTCTTGAACTGTACTTGAACTGGAAGAGTTCAGCTCTTAGCAGGACATCCCAGATTGCCATCATGACTTCTGATGCAAGGATTCAACTGTGAAAGGATTGCATTACTAAACTCCATGAGATTGGTTTACATCAGTCCTCACAGCAAAGGCTTTTCAGGGAGCATACATGCCACGTGGATACATGTGGGCAGCCTGCTCAACATGGGCCTGCTTGAGCAGGGGTGTTGGACCAAGATGACCTCCAGAGGTCCCTTACGACCACAGCCATTCTGTGATTCTGCAATTCTTTACAGAATTACATCTCCTAGCTGTGCAAGTACAGCATTTTCCTGGCCAGGATTCTTTACTCTTGAGGCACCAGCAGTGCTTTCTGCTGCTGCTGAGCATATTCTGAACTTCTTGCCATCAGAGCTCAGAACCAGGGTTTATGCTGGCAGGAGTAAAGTTCAGACAGAAGTGTGTCTACATCCTGGAGAAAGAGAGTAAACAACGTCTTTTTTGGTATTTGTGAATTAAGGTCATGTGGTATTATATACAAGTAGCAGTATCATCACTCATATGTTAGTCACTGAGTGAAAAAAATGATGGATTTTATCAAAACCATCTTTTCATAACTATTTGGAATAAAAAGCTATTGAGACCTAAATATTTAGGGCAAGGAAACTGTAGAAGACCTGCAGAAGACACTCTTATCTGCTCTGTTAGACATGGTATCTCTTTGATCCCTTGCTTTTACTTAGTCTGTGTCTCTGTCGCAGATGGCCTTTGAGTGGAAAACAGTGCCAACTGTGATTCCCAAGCCAGTTTCTGTTTTACTACCTTTACTGTCTTCAGTGGTGTTTCAAGATACCAACATTGACCCTGAGCCACAACTGACTTGTAATTTCTGTTATTATTACTTAGTGGGAATAAGTGCTGAGTGTAAGGAGTCACTTGGGGGATCAAGTACAAGTAACGATTATTTTCTGAGGCCAGGCAGTGTGGGGAAGAGTTTGGACTTGCCATGGCTTACTGAGCATATCAACCAGGGTACACATCAAAGTTATGTAAGAACCATTTCATACAGTTTTCCTTCCTAGTAACTTTCTGTTCAGTACAAGTTGATCTCATAATCTGATGTATTCCTTTTATCAGTGTAGGACTGTGTCCTTGCCACAGGCTGCATTGTTTCTTTGCTAGAAAATAACATAAAAAACCTTTTGTGCAACTTGAAGCCTAGGACAGTAGTTCAAAACCAAAACTTATTTTCCTTGCTTTCTCAAAAGAAGTAACTGAGTTAATGTATTCATGTGAATTTAATGTAACAGTTTCACAAACTTTTTGTTGAATAATGAAATGTTTTAAATGCAAGAGGGGAAAAAAAAGCAAGAAAAGTGGAAAAGCATATTCATCTTGACCAGTTATAGATTTTTTTTCCCCAGTAGAAGCTAAATAGTTAGCAAATGATGAATATTCATATACAAACTATGTAAACAATGCACACAGAACCGCTAACTACATTGCCAGACTTTAGATAAGCCATCATTTCTTCCAAAATAAATAAACCAAAACCTGAATATACTTTTGTAGTGTAAAAAGCAAACGAGTAACTGAGAGAAAACACAAGCTTAAATAGCGAAATTGCTTTACTGTAATTGCTTTCCTATATGGTGAAGTACACATACCAGGTACCTCTAGAAATACTCAAACTATAGTTCCTCCAAGAGGGCTGTTTTTTTTCCTGACACGTGGACAAGATTATAGGTTAAGACCAATAAGCCGTACACAACACCTGGCACGGAAGTTCTTCGTTCATGGAACAAAACATTAGTTAACTATCATCAGAATTATTCTTTGGAAATATGTTAGTACAACTGAGAGTTATCTTCAAACACCCCATGCTCCTGTGTGTTCCAGAAGTAATTTTCAGTTTCTGGCACTTTGAATACAGCTGTTTTAAATTACCCTTTCTTATTCAGGAAATCACTTACTGTTTCTGCTGTTCTCTGCTATCTAACTAGAAATTTCTTTCAAGATAATTTATCATTACAAGCTGTTCACATATTGTTCCAAGTACTAGATACCTGAGCACAGAAGAAAAATTCTGTTGTATAATTGATTCATAGTTCAATAGTAGTTAAAAAACCAAGCAAGCCTCTGTGCAAGAACAAAAGCCATAGGTTTTATGAGTGAGTGTTTGGAGAAACAATAAACAGCGTGTATGTTTAATTTGAAGATTAATCTTAATTATTTAGGGTAAATATGTTTCAGTCTACTAAAAGGGAGCTATGCCCTCCTGTCATTCCTGAATCTTAAATGATTGTGTCTGTAGAGTTGAAATTAATGGTTGCCATCTTTCTTCCTTTGAAGGAAGGAAAGAAAAGAGGGAAAAAGAAAAAGAAGAGGTAAGTCCTCTTCTTCTTGACAGACTTGCACTTCATGTTACTCAAATACACAAAGAACTTGGTGCATGTCTTATCTAGAACTTCTGAATACTAAAAAATTAGAAATATTTGTGAATTTCTTCATGTCATGCAGTCCCAAACAAAAACTCTGTAGAGAAGTTAAGAGTTGGTAGGTGATACAGCTTTATCTTCATCACTTTCAAAAATGTAAAAAGCAAAACAATTTAAGGAAATGCAAGAAGGAATTAATTTATCTCTGGAAAATAAGGAAATGCCGCAATGATCCCTTTGGTATCTGCAGTACTTAAAAAGGGTGATACTCGCTGAGGTTTTTTTCGCCAGGCCTTCTGCAAGAGGATAGTTTCCAATTAAACAATAGGTGAAATTTCATTTACAATTACACTATAGTTACACAGGATAATTTTGCATGATGACTTTTATTGAGCAGTTTTTCTCAATATTTGTACATCGCATTTGTTATCTCTTAAGGACACTACAGAGGATGGACAGCTGAGTCTGGTTCAAATGATTACTGGAAGCTGGAGGAGCCAAGAAATTCTTAACAATCCTTACAATTAACAATCCTTAACATCTTTGGTGGCACTGTAGTTGGAGCCAGTGCACCAATAAAGAATGACAGAGAATGCTATATTCTCTTACTATTTTTGAGAACAGGAGCTCCAACCATTTCTAACACCTGTGTTTCTTTTGCTAGGTTCTCAGCCTAACTTGTATCTACGCAAACTATCATTAGTATATTTAGGAGACATATATGTATATATATGCATAATAGGAAGACAAAAATCAGTATTAGAAGGTAATAAGTATATAGTTATTCTGTCACACTTGGTTTATTAATAGCTGTTTTTCATTAGAAGTACTATTGTATTTTCATATTTATTACTTGAAAAATATACCCTAATTTTATAATATGACAGCAAAACAGAATTAATATAGCAGTGAACCTTGACTTTCAGTGCATCGGGTTTCCTGCAGTTAACGCTATTGTCCTTAACGTTACTTTTTATTCACATTTTTTCTTTCTGTTGCTGTGTATAGTGGAAGGGGACTGTAGTCCAATGATTCAAACAGGAGGCTATCTATCTTTTGGATTTTCATAATAATTTGGGTGATTCCTTCCTGAAATCATTCTGCAGTGCAAGGAAGTTAGAACACAAAAATTTTAATGTCACGCTCCATCAGATCTATTTGCTAAGCATTCATAAAATATATAGAACTTGTACTCTGTAGGCTTTAGGTTTGTAAGACATGTTTAGTTGGCAACAGTAGGCTATATCTCTGCTACAGTAATAAAGATTAGTATGTCATTTATTAAAATATATACAGCAGTCTGTCGTTAGGAAAGTAGTTTTCTGAAAGATTACAAATCCAGTTATTTTGGTGTAAAATTTATGCAAGGGGATTCTATTAATGGTATCCATATTTAATATTTGTGAAATGAGCTTGGAGTTGACATCAGGATTTCAAATGCTGGCTCTGGCAATGCCTCATTATGAGGCTCTGGGTGAGTCATGTCAACTTTGTTTGTTAATTCATCTATAAAAACTGAGATAATAACATAAATTTATACCTACAGGGATATTTGTAAGATTAATTACATAGGCTGAGATCCAGCAAAGCACTTAAGTCTAAATGAGTCTTTAAGCATATGAATAGTTCTATTGAAAGCAATATTATTCCTATTCTTGAGAATTTTCCTGGATTAGTACTTTAATGCCTGTTCAGTGTTCTGAGAAAGTGACAGATTGTAAAAATGCTTAGAAATATAAATATTAAATGTATTACTTAAGGATTGGCCTCTATTTTTTTGTTTGTTTGTTTAATCTGGGACTCTCTCTCATGGTTTCTTTCCTGATAAGCCAACAAAATAGGTCTTAGTTATGCTGCTGTTTTTATTTTATAAAAATGAGTTTGTATTTATATTCAGGTAAAAGCCAATAGAAGGAATGGCTTTCAATGAATGAACATGTGATTGTAAGAAAATAAAATTCTCTGATATACCTAAAATCAGATTCATTAAGGTATCTAAAACACTCAAAGCACTACGTAAATAGCCACATGGTTCTTTGGCAGTGCCTGAATAAGCCACGGGCCTGTATCATATTTCTATTCTGTGAAATTCAGGTACCTACATACATGATATAGTTTTTGTGTGTGTGTTTGTTTTTAAATTAGTCACTTCTGTGCTTTTGAAAAAAATACTGCTCGACAAGAGATCGCTGTTGAGGGCATCCAGGGAAACCTGCACTGTAATTACCAGCTATGTATATATTTGCCTTGCATCTTCAACAGATTTCTTCATGATTTATTTGAAGTGGAAGCTTAACAGCACTTCATTCTGGCCTTAGCAATGACCGAGGGTTATCCAAAATGAGGTGGGAAGCAGGAGCTAATAATCAAGGCTCATCATTTTGCCTTGAGGGCTAGTTGACAATTAGACCTTGTAGGGTCACCAGTATTTTTACCACATTATATCCTGTTTTCAGTGAATTTTCATTCTAGTTCATCATTATTTTATTGAATTTATTTATGTCCATGGAAGTGACTTTCATTCCTCTTTCTATTATAAAAAGTAAAACTTTCAGAGGAAAAATACTTTATTCACTAGTTTTGTGAAGACATAATGTAAGTAACATTATTTTATGTTAATTTTTAAGATTTGCTTGGGACACTGGAAGAAATTCTTCCTAACCTCCAAAAAGACGTTAGTGTTTGGATAATGACCAAAGACTCCACTTTTCCGAGTGTGCATACCCTTTTAGACAAAATAGAAGCTGCATCTGAAGACCCTGTTCCAGTTAATCGACGCTCTGCCAACAACCTCAAGTCATCTGTTTTATATATATTTACTTCAGGAACAACAGGTACAGGTCTCCTAAAGAGTTTACATTTTCCTTCAGCTTTCATCTGGAAACTCGATTTTCCAAAACTCTAATCTTTTGGTTCATCTTTTCATAGTCAAATATCGTATTTCTTATCTAGAAGCATTATGGTAGAAAATAAGCATGTTTCTTGGCAGTGACTGTTTATATTCAGTGGTTTATGGGCTTTTGTTTTTTTTTCCTGCCACATTGTGCAAATACTATGAGAAGCTTTACGTCTTACTACTTCACAGCTAAGGTGTTTATAAAACTATTTGCTTTTTTGGTGTGTTTACAATGATAATAAATATTATTTTGTGATCACATACCACTGCCTAGCTAATATAGCTAACATTGTATCTAGAACTTTAAAAAACTATCTTCAAACAAGCAAATAGACATTTGACTTTTCTTCATTAAGTCATGTTCTATGCAGGTCACTGTAGAGACAGAAAATAGGATTAAGTTACTAGCCTTTTAGTTTAGAAACAGATGGCTGAATTTATTACCAGTGCTCCAGCAGCTAAGAAGCTAAGACTTTAAAAAAAACTGATCACTGACATGAAAAGCAGCATGATGTTGTTAAGATAAGCAGATTGGCATTCTCATTCAGCTGAACACAACAGTTTTAGTCGCAAGAATATTTAAAATGAAGATGTGTTTTATGGCTTTGTTCCCTCGTACAAGTAATTATTTAATTTATTTGCTTCAGGTTCTGGAGAAAAATCAGGAAATAAAAATGTCAGTCTAAAAAAAAAATTAGGAAGGTATAAATATTGACAAGAGGTCAGATATGTTTGTAATACTACTAATATAAATGTGGACAAAATATCTGTGTGAAGTGTCAAATTTCAGTTATGTAGAATTTAAAATATTTTTGAATGCTTGTATGTATTACATTAATTTACACTGGATTTCTTTTATGTACCATGTAACTAAAAGAATAAGGTTATTTAGTCTGAAGAGTATGGAATAACCAAGTCTAATCTAAAGTAAGTGAGCATTTTCACACTTTTTGATAAAGCAAGAGCATAGTGTTGCTCCTAAAATCAATGACTGGTGAACGTAGTTAAAAGAAAGAAGCATCTTGCACAGTCTGTAGCCAGCTATCTGTAAAGGCAGAAGGAAAAAACTCAAAACTCGGTAGAGCATTTCCTGCTATAAGTGGTTCATTTGCAGCGTAGGCTTATTGCCTTTTCTCTTTAGTGTGATGGGTTTTGGAATAACTTTGAACTGTAGCTAGAATCTCCATAGATTACACTTCCAGTTAACAGCTATAGTTAAGTCTTCAAATGAGCAGTAGCTCTGCTAGACTAGGTGAGGAAACTTTCTGAACCATTAAATTTTTTTATATTTTTAACAGTTCTCACTGTTCATCATCAGGACTCAGCCTGAAATTTGTGTGTGTACATGAGAACATATATGAAGCAAGAACACATACCCTACTCAAAATAATGGGTACCAGAGTAGTAGCCCAAGAAGCTCTTGCATGTGAGTCTGCGTGTTGCTGAGCAGAAATTCTGTGCTGAACCTGAAGAAACTCATTAAGAACCTAACTGGAGTGGATTTTCTGCTGGATTTTTTTTTTATTGTACATAGTCTTCACTGTTCTAAAACAAATAGGTAGACTTAGATGTACACATCTTAGATAAGCACCCACTGCATGATCTACTTCATGTAGATCCCATACCTTTCTTAATTACTTTGTAGTCACTATGACTCTTGCCTGAAACAGATCTAGTGTGATGCTTCTTTATGTTAAAGGAAGTCCATATGTACAGTAAATAGTTATGGCCCTTTGTTGGCTCTATATAATTTAATAGCGTGCTAACTGTGGACTTTCTTCATGTTTCCACCTATTTGAATTGACTTGACATCAGATTAAATAACTAACAGCCGAGGTTACAAACTGGCTTATGTATCTTTGTGTGTACAGAACAAACATGCAATACTGTGTTAAACAGATAGTTGTCTATTAATGGCCACCTAACCAGATGGCTGAAAATTTGGTTACAGAAGAAAGTATTGATTCTTTTATGATTTTAGAGATCTTGCACAGAAAAAAAAAAAAAAGAGTTCTCTTTAAGAGAAGCTTTATGCATGGTTTTGTGTTTTAATTACAGGTCTTCCAAAGGCTGCAGTCATCAGTCACATGCAGGTTCTTAAAGGAGCTGCTGGACTGTGGGCTTTTGGTGCTACTGCAGAAGACATAATTTATATTACTCTGCCTCTTTATCACAGTGCAGCATCTCTTCTTGGCATCGGTGGATGCATTGAATTGGGTAGGGCTCATTTCATTTAATTGTGTTGTTAACAGAGAATTAATTATTATAAAAATGTATAAAACACACTTAGGTTCACTGCCATTAGGGAAACTAATGTTTTGCTGAAATCAAATGAATAGTCTTTTTGGAATAGCTTTATATTTCTGTATTTTGGGGATAGGGGGGTGTTGTAATAGTGAAGGATCTCTCACAAGCTATCTTTTTGGTACTGGAGAAGAATTAGTTACAGTCATTTGTGCAACAAATGTTTTTACTTTCTTTTATATTTAGGTAAAAAGGAATTTAAGGACATATTAATATTTTGGCAGTGTATATAGTGCGTTAGTATATGTACAGACTAAGCATTGTACAGTGCAATAGAACTAAAATGTATTTTGGTGAATTTAAAAAGACTGACAAATACATTTATAGTGAACACCCAGCTTTGTCATATATCATTAGATGATATATAATTTTTTTTCCACTTGACTTGTGTACTATTTTGGCACAGACAATAAAATACATATTTTACTGAGACAATGTAGGTGTCCTCAATGACACTCTTATAAAAGATTTATTTGGAACTTGATGGCAAATATTTCCTGTTTCCTGAAGCATCAAGGACAAGTCAGAGCAAGGGAGAGATCATTGGATTATGGATTAATTCTGTCTGAATCTGCATCGATGAATACTTTCTTCGTTGAAAAATTAGGTTTTAGTGATACCCAAATGATTTGCTAATTCAGACTGACTTTTCTGGATATTTTCAGTTAAACTCTTTTGAACAATGTTACAACACCAACAAAGAGAAACTGTCTTCTTGCTTTTAACTCTTATCTATCAGTTTACTGTCTCACCAAGGAGGAGACTGGGTTCATCTCTCTTTGTCTACCAGGTTTGAACACACGTCTTCTAATAAAACAGCTTAAATACCATATAGTTCTCTGAACGAGGCTGCTCTTAGTTCCTCTTATGTTCTATTTTGTAGAAATAGCGAACATAAGGTGCCATATAGAGAAAATGCTTCATTTTATTTTCTACTGTTTCCATAAAGGTGCAACCTGTGTGTTAAAAAAGAAGTTCTCAGCTAGTCAGTTTTGGAGTGACTGCAAAAAGTACAATGTGACTGTCATCCAGTACATTGGAGAACTTTGCCGTTACCTTTGCAGCCAGCCAGTGGTAAGTGGAACCAAAATTATGGCTATTCATCTGTAAGTGATATGTACATTTATTGTTCTTAATGTGATTATGTTAAAAGGGAAATAAAACTGTACTGAACCTGTCCCTCTGCCCTTCTTTTTATGTGAGGTTCTTCAAATATTTGGTGATCTGTAGACTCTAAAAAAACAAATAGCTTGAATCAGGAAGATGTTGAAGTATTAAAAGAAAAGATTTCGAGACTAAAAACTTATTCAGTATCATTTGGTGAAAAAATATTATTTCACGGAGTTTCACAATTTAAGTTCAGGAAACCAGGATTACTGTTCAATGTCTTTTCAAAATTTTCAAAACTTTGTTTCTTGGCACATAAGTATATCAGAGGTCTCAAGTTTTGTAGGTCACGTTTTAGCACTGTTTTGGTTTGTGGAATGTGCTTGTTTTGAGACTATCTAAACCATATTTTAAAATTTGGAAGGGGTTTGGTCTAGGTTAGCAGCTCAAAGGAAGAATGCCTTTTGTTCCAATTAGAAAGCTGTTCTAGGCAGCAAAGCTAGTTTTGTTAAAGGGACATTCCTCTCTGAAACTGTGTTAGCCCTAACTTGAAAATACTTCTTTTCCCTTGGCAGTCAGTGGTGTGATGGTCTATCTACATGGTATCAAGTGCGAAGTAGGCTGAACCTGTTGTAATTGCCAAGTATAGCTGACTCAGGTTAATTGAATTAACTCCCAATCTTGCTGTTTTCTGGTATGTTTCTGTATCTACCCATTGACGACAGAGAGACCCAGATGTTTAGGCTAAGCTAAATGCCTAAAATTTGTTGGTATTAATTCAAGATGTATAGAATAATATAGATGGAACAGATATAACCTGTTGCATAGCAAACCCAACTGACTTTCTATCCTCAAGTGCTTGTGCTAAATGTGTTAAAATGAATATGAAACAAATGTTCTTAGTCCAGTATACACTAAAATTCATCTTGCTAATGCTGGCAACTTCCATCCATGTATGAGCTGAAGGTTGTCCTATTGTGTTTCAATAATAAATCCTAAATGTTACATCATACGTTATCTTACTTGGTTAAGCATTTTAATAAATGACTTTACACAGTTACTTATGATCATAAACCACTTAGTTTGAATATTGAATAAAAATAAATAACAGCTTCCAAGCACCTGTATAACATTACGCAAAAAGAACTGTATCCTCTTCAAATTTAACAAAATGTTTAGGAGAACACAAAGAGATTTGTGAAAATGTACAGAAGTTGGATGCAATGCAGCTTTTGTCTCTTTGAACATTCTCCCTTTGCCTCTATCATAATTTCAATTGTGATTTCAAAAAAATAATCAGTGGTTCATATCCTTTTCAGTGAATTTTATTGAAATTATTCATCTCTTAGGAAATGTTGCCAATAATTCAAATTAATTAATCTGAAAATTCTTTTCTAATCCAAGTCCTCATTTTATGATTTTCCAGAATAACCTCCTCCTTAAGCAGCATTCTAATACTTCGAAGAGAATACAAATCAGTCTTGTTTTCCAGCAGAATAACAATTTGCATTAATATCTCAAGTTGCTGACCAAAGAATGGAAAAGGTCGGTGTTCATAAGGCAGTGGATTTTTTTTTCTCCTGAAAATTTTCAGAAGTATGATTAAGTAATGTAGCAGTAGGTCATAGATCCTACAGCACTATCCATGCATGCCTCAGCGAACAAAATGTTCTTGAATTGGAGGGCATGGCTGATGTCCTGGTGATCACCACTGGCTGTGATGTGAAACCAAAATAGCGATACCTTTCTTTCTCTGTTTCTTTTTTTTTGGTGGTGGTGGGGGGGGGTTGTTTGGTTGGTCTTTAACTTTATCATAAAATAAACAAAAAGCTACAGGATAACAAAAAATCAAGTTAGAGACCATAAGGAAAATCAAAACATGTGAAGGGCCTAGCTTTTATGAATTGTGATTTTTCTTCATTGTAGGCTAACATTGTTTCCCCAAAGTCATCTCCTTTCTCTCCAACACTTCCCAACTTTTTTGCAGCCTCAGATACTAATTGTTCCCCTTTTCTGTCCTTTAACTGTTAGAGCATGGCATTTTGTTTTACTCATTTTATCCTGTTCAGTATTTTAAAGCAAGAATGATAGATTAATATACGTCATTTTCTAAAACAAACTCTCTCATTTTCAAATCCTTACCAAGCCATTGTAAAGTTAAAGGAGTTTTAAATTTTGCAAATAAAGTTATTGATACCATAATTTACTATTTATATACTATATTATGTATTTATACCATCATTAACTATTCATTAACTATATAACTATTCTATTTATTAATTTATGTGCATACTTTCTAGGAGCTGGCATGTCTAAACTCTTTGCTCTGTGAGGCTATGGGGTTTTTTTGGTTTTGGGTTTTTTTGCTAGTTGACTAAAGAGAAACCAAATGTACCTATCAAGAAAAATTAAAATTATAAAATGAATCAGTTTGACAGCTAGGTACTGGAAGAAAGATAGTAAGTATGTGTCATGTTAAAACTGGAAGAGAAACATGTTCACACAAATAAGTGGAAGGATTTTAAATATGTTATGCAATCCATTATTATTTTTCAAGTAGTGAAATAATTCGCCAAGTTGTTATCTCTCAAAGTTTCATTAACTTAGAAGCACTGTATATACTGGCAGCATGAGAAAGATACAGCTAATACAAGTTTTAAAGCTCTCTGAGGATATGTGGGCAGTGTTCTCAAGGCTTACTATAAAGCCCTTCTAATGAACATAAGATAATTGCTATGGTTTTAATCTAAGTGCTTTATTTGTTTCTTTAACACTAAATTTGGAATAAATGGTATATTTCTAACAGTTGGAGGCCACAGTGTGGCCTCTTATTTCCTAGATTTTGAACAGAACTTTTGGCAAGTCTCTGTGGTAGCATATAGACTCTTGGCTTAGCTTTACTTATTAGTTTTGTCTTGTATGATCTTTCTGCCTCCCACTCACATCTGCAACAGCTCTTGAAGACTCTTTTGCAGTAGAATTCTTCTGAAACCTGTTCTGCATCCAGTTTGGTTTAGTAACATGTTGTCTGGAAAGAACATTTGTTAGAAAAGGAAGTTGTCTTTTTTCCTGAAGTGCAAGTACAAAGACCTTGCATTATGTGACATTCATAGATTTTGCTGGGCTTCTAAACAAGTGAGTAATCCTCATGCCAACCCTCTTCCAAGCTCTTTTTCTGCAGTCTTTTGATCATAGTGAAAGTATAAGAGCCAGCATTGATGGCTAGTAGCCATCAGTAGCTACAAAATGGATCCTGCTCTAAGATACTAGCATGACTACTCCAGTGAAAGAGAATATTCAGCAAATTAATAACTTGGTCTTGCTGGCTAACATTGCTCAAAGTCTCTGTTAACAGTGATCTATGAAATTTCAGAAGTATGGCATAGCATAGCTCCCCATTTTCTCTTTAAGCAAAGGCCTTGGAAATACTTCTCTTCTAATCTGTGGATATATTTTCCTTAGAGAGTTGCAACACATTTAACATTTAAAGTGTACACAAAATCTTCCTAATGCACTTGCAGATTTATTTCATGTTTGAAGTAATGAGCTATTTAAATAATACATTGCATCCTGAAGCTTTTGGAAACATATGAATGGTAATGCAGCATCTCTTTCCTGCTTTTCTGTAAAGGAGACCTGAATCCTGAAGTGGTTTAGAAACAGAGGCTAGAAATCAGTTTTCTTGATCATTATGTCCTGTCTTCTACTCTCATAAGCTGTCATACATTATGACATTAATTGTATGATTTATGATACCTTGCATAAACTTGGTAAGATCTCTATTAAAACCAGAGATCACTTCTACTTGTATTCAAAGTCTGTTTCACAATTAATTATATCATTGCTTAGAAATTTTCTTTCAGTATCTGTCCTGTTTTATGTCCATTTGGTATTGAGCCAATGTTATCCTTTGGCATCAGTAACATTTGCTATTTTCTTGGGATTACCTCAAGTGTATAAGACCATGTATATCAGCTTTCAGACTTTATTTTGTTAAGCTGAAGCAAGCCGAGCTCTCTACTAGATCCAGTTTGGCCAAGGTTTCTCTGGGTGGGATTAAGCTCTCTGAAGTGACTTTAGAAAAGATGCCTAAGGATTTATTTTATTAAAACTCTTCTGTGTTAGAACAATAGTAATTTAGAAGGAGAAAACAAGGAAGTCGATGCTGCTGGGATAAGCAAACAGAATGAACACTTCTTTCCCTGCTGTTGACTCAAGTGTTGTGGGAAGGGGTGTATGAATGGGGTTTATGTATGTTGGATAGCACTGTCTCCCACCTAGAAACAGGTTTCTTTGAAGGAAGGGAATTGGATGGCCAGGTAGGGAAGGAAAAATGAATCAGCAGGCACTTCTCTACAATGCAGGTTTTACTTGACATCACATTTTATTCCCCATTAAAGTTTAGCTCAATTTATGTTCAGTACTGGAAATTGTTCTTTCGCTTATCATTAAAATGTGGAGTGGAAATTTGTCAAGCCCTTTGCACGTTTTCAGCATAAACATTTTATTAAATACCCCAAAGCAATAATGTGTCACAGTTACAGACAACCACATCTGTACCTTCCATTTGAAGTCTCTGAATAATCTCTATATGTCATTACAATTTTATTTACTGGGGGGCATTTTGCAATTTATTTATTCTTCTAGTAACCTGTGTTTTTTTTTTTAAATCTGCGAACACTTGTGTATGTTTTAAGCAGAACATCATTCTTAATCCAGGATGTTACTGATTTACTACAGTAAATTATTAACAATGCCTAAAAGGAGAATTGAACACTGTTTGTACATGCAGTTAGAGAAAATAGAATTTTTAGGCTAAGAACACATTCAGGACATCTGAAGTAAAGCTTAGAAATGGACCTGGGATTTGGAAGCTTGTATTTTTTCCCTCCAGACTATATCAGTTGATCTAATAAAAAATATACTGTATCTCACAACAAACTTTGTCTGTGCTTTAAACTGCCATG